CCTGCTGAGCTGGAGGGGCAAATTTTGCAGGCCTGCTTCAGTTCCAGGCTGTTACTTAGTGTATTTGGCACAGGGAGCAGCGTGTCTCTTGTTCTCCATTCTTTTCTTCTCACTGCTATGTAAGACAAAGTGATTCAGCTCTTGAGAGCCGACTACTGTGCAGAAGTAATTTTTTTTTTTTTTAAATCCAGCATATTTATTCCACATTGTGTGTGCCAGAAAAATTTCCCCAGATTTAAATTCTTTTGTCTGCAAGTGCTATTAGACTCTAATCCATAGCAGCATTCATTAAGTGCAAGTGTTAGGAGTAAGTGACCATCTTTTTAGTCAGGAGAAAAGAAATCATAGGATTGGGCTGCTGGACTTCACAGCACACATGGAAGATTTTTTTTTAAATTCATGATGGAAAATTTTCTTTACATATTGTTTATACTGACATAAACATCAGGATTTGAAAACAAATCTTTTTCACTGATATTGACAATAGTCCATAAGATATGAGAATCCTTAACTATATATCTATAATGTGTATCTATTAAAGAAAATGCAGGTTTTTTTAAAATCAAGGACAACTAGTTATATTTTTTTGCCAGAAAGTTAAATAGTCTGAGTTGAGCAGTTTGTGTTCTACTAACTCACCTAGAGATTCCAAGATGTCCTTTATATCTGTTATCAGGCAATCTAACTTGTAATTTTCTTTGTGAGAAGGAGCATCCGTTTCTCCATAGCCTCTCAAATCCAGAGCCACCACTCGATACTCGCTTTTAAATTCCCGCAATTGATGGCGCCAAGAATACCTAGCAAAGGGGAAAAAAAAAGTTGGAGTTAGAAGGTCAAGCAGTATGATAGGACAATGCAGTCAATCCTACTGCTCCCAAATAGTTGGGGATGAGTTATCTGGGCTTTGTTTGCAATGAGCTCCTCTTCTCTGGGTGCGGTGAGCTGGTGGTCCTTTGCAGCTCCAGTCGCTCTGGGCTCCCTCCCTCAGCTCTCCAGTAAGGAAGCACAGCTGCCCAGAAGGGGACACGGCCAGAGCCTGGCTGCTTCCACAGCTGCTTGAGCTGGCGTGGTCTCTATGCTGCGAAGGAAGCAAGCATAAACCAGAGCGCACATAGGACTGTTCTGTTTTATCCTTGGAGCCATAATAGCATCAAGAAACGATGGTCTGAAAGTTTTCTGATCTCCCCAGCTTCTTCTGATACAAAGAAGGGTCAGATGGAGAAGAGAAGCATGCCTCAGGGGACAGATTTTTTTTTTCCCCTTTTCAAGAAAGGAATGTCAGATAATTTATACAGTAATTTAACTGAAGAAAGAAATAAGATGAATAACAAATGAACTTGGTCAACTGCTATGATTTATATTACTACTACTTTATCTGTGTCTCTATTATTACCAGAATTGTTCCACAGCAATCTCTCAGCGTGTTGGTACTACACAAAGCATTTCATTGCTAGTGCTTCTGTGGAAAAGAGGGATAAAATTACATACATTAAAAGATATGCAAAATGAAGAACTCAGGCAAGGGCTTAGGATATTCCTCATTCCGTAATATGAAGTAGTGAATGGACGAATATGGTATACAGCTAATATAATACAAAAGTGGTAAACCTGACCCTGCAAGAACTACCTGACCTTCAGCTGTTACTGAAATCAATTAAAACTGTGACTAGCCAGTATCAAGAAAGTACAAATCTTATCTTATATTGTAATTTAAAGATACATGAAAAATATGATCCTTCTAGGCATATATAACAATGGCTGTATCCCTCCTTGCTAGGATCTAGCTTTTACTTTTGGCCTTGTGTCAAAAATCTCAGATAAATTATATAAAGCTTCTGGATCATCAGTTATCATAAGTGAGATGCATGGACTTCTACCTTAATTCAAACTGTGTTGATATTATATCTTTTTCTCTTCCACTTTAGCTTTGCCTCCAGTCATTAGGTTTTTTGAACATAACATAAGCAATATTACAACAACACTCGTTAATTATAGAGATTTGTATTCATGTAAACAGAACAGTTATCACCTTTTTGTTTCAGTACCATGTAATGAAATATAAGATTTACATCAACAAATACAAGATTTACAAGATTTACTCAAGGAATTAAATTTTTAAAAGTCATTAATATACTGACTTGGAAGCTGAATTTGCCATGGTAACTGTCATAGCTATCATATATATTTCAGTAAGAAGAAGCAACAAGGCCCCTAAATAAATAAAATATTTTTGTTTCTAGCAGCATGCCTACTTGCTATCCCCACATCCTGTTTTCACAACAGTTCGCTAGTCACTAAATGTCTGACTGCGTGGGTAGGTTTTACAGTCACATTCACAGAACTCCTGTTATCACGTATGAAACATACTACTGAGACAACTGCTTCACAAGCAGGATTTGAAAATGTTGGTAAATGCCTTTCTTTTCCTAAGGCTGAATAATGGAAAGTATTTTATGATTTTCTGATCACATTATTTCTGGAAGGCAACTTGTACAAAACTCAGCAGCTCACGTATATCCCTATAGGTACCCAGCTATCTCACGTTATGCCCACTTTGAAGTATTTTAATACCGTCTCTCCATAAAATTGGTATTGATTTTCAAGTTCTTAGGCACCTAAGGCGCTTACTGGCTCTTACTGGCTCCGGTGCATTATATACTTAAGTCATCTTTCATCTTAAGGCATTCACAATCAGTCACCATGGTCAGTATTGGCTGGTTATAGTTCTTCTAGTTACAACCTTGAGACACTTGAAGGTAGAGGATTTGGTAATTCAAATTAGTAACTGTGATACGTATCCATTTCTTTTTCCAGCCAAGCAATACAAACGCGATAGCGCTTTAAATAGCTCTTAAATTGTGATTATTTTAATCTCATGCTCTCAAAACAATCTCAATTCTTGCATAAAAAGCTCTATACAGATTGAGTAACAAACCGACACCAGTATTTGTCGTGTGTCTATTTTATGAACTATTAGCATGTTTTTTTGTTTTTAAAAACAGCTATATAAACCAGGCTATTGGTGGTAGTAATGACCTATATACAAGTTTCTTATTCATTATTCCATTCCATTTGAGTAGTCAGATAATATAATATATTAATTGTCATTTAAAGAGTGACTCATCGTTCTAAACTGTAAAAATGGCTTTCTGAATTTTGGAAACAATATACTGAATCTCAATAGAATATGTATATAAAATGCTGGATTTTGCACATCACGCCCACTGCAGGGGAAATTATCTGTAGTCTCAGCTGTCTTTTTGTGTTAGAGCATACATTATGCAAGATACGCATATTTTTTGCATAGAAAATGCAACACCCCCCAACCTAACTGGCTGATTTTAATCTATGTTTACATTTTTTATCCCATTAGTTAGCAAGTTATTATTAGAACAATCTGCTTCCTTGAAAACGTATCTGAAAATAATAAATACGACTTTATACCATCATCCTCAAGGCCTTTAGTATTTACAGGAAACAGCTGAGGGGAGAGAACTGACCTCTGTTTTACCTGGGTCATTTCATCGTGGTATGACCTGAGTCCGGCTTGAAAGATCACAGCTCCCACAGTGGAGCCTAGCTCCATAGCCGAGTTTAGAATGGGAAAGGATCATTTACTTGCTGAATTACTGGCATCACCACTCCCCCTATTCCCTTACTGTTTTTTAGGTGCAAGCTCTGTAAGCCATGCTTCAGTGGTTAAACTTGGCAATGACAGCCCAAGCAATTTGGTTAAAACACTAGACACGTGACTGCTTTCCACTGTTGTAAACAAACGTTTAGGATTGGTTTGGATTCATTGCTTGTCTTCATGTATCTGCAGATGCCATCATTCATCTTCTGATGAACTAATAATAGAGCCTTTTTCCCTGAGTAGCATTCTGAAATTAGGCTGTAGAAGACTGTAGAACTTAAGAGTTCTTCTCCCCCTCCTCCAGTTAGGACTTCATGTATATTATTTTTAACAAATGCAGCAATCCATACTGTACATTAATATACATGGATTCTCATTTTAGCCCCCTCTGCTATGGTTCCTGATTTTAACCGTAACAGTTCAAATGTTTTTCCAAACAGGAAATTCCTTAAAAATAAGCAATTCCTCCCCAAAGTATGAAGAAAAGTGTACATACTCGGGGGAAAAAACGGCTTTGCAGTGGAAGAAGAATGGTTGGTTTGAGTTAGGCTACAGGCACTATTTTCTAGATGCTGCAGTTAAAAACAGTCTCAGTCCTTTGTTCCCTCCTAGAACTTAATATTTTTAGTATGCACGGTTACATACAACAGATCACTCCGGGGATACCTAAGGTGAGACGACCACTCTCAGGTATCTCAAGCAGCCTCTTTTATACAAGCAAAGCAAGCAGGGAGTTTTACCAGAACTCTGGAAAGCCATGAAGCAGCAGCATGAGTGGTTTACCCCTTTCTCCGGCAGCCACATAGTGGAATCTTAACCCTGAATCCTAAAAGGAAAGAAAAAGAAGTGCTTTTATTGCTGCATAGAATTGTTACTGATCCTGTGACTTGAGAGTAAATGTGGTTTGGACAACAGTCTGAGAAACAATTTCTCGCCCCTGAAAAAAACGTATTGCTTCCCCTTGAAGCAGAAGTCGTCTGGGTTTCTGAGAGGAGGAGATCTGCTACGTCGTCGTGGCAGGGCTGAGCGTCCCCACCCTCAATGCCACAGCTTCTTCCAGGGAGGACCCTCTTTAATACCTGACAAGCTCTGGTGACTACATGCTAATTCAGCCATGAGCACGCTAACATTTCTGGAAGAGCATCGCCGGGGACGGTGCCTAGGAAACGCAGACTCTTCCAGAAGCTAGCACCTTTCTCTCAAACAGACACCCATCGTATATTTGATGGGAAGACTTAGTAAGGTATACCTTAAATGCACTAGCAATCTTGTCAGCTCGTTTATACTACAGCCAGCTATTTAAAACTATAGCACATCGCAATCTGGCATAATGAAGGGCTGCATGCATTTAAAAAAAACCCTAAAAGCGATCAAAATTAAGATAACTAGAAAGTAAGTGTTTTTTGCTTGCTTTTACTATTCAAGGTTTCAGATTTGCTTCAGCAAACACAGTCTTAATGTGATTACCTTCTTCCTACCCTGTCTATAGTCACTGTTTTTGATGCACCTTTTTAGGGCATGGGTCTTATTAGAATTACCAATAGGCAAGTTGCTTATTGCCAGTAGTCCAGAGGCTGAACACTGAAACGCCACAGAAACGAACAGATGTACACGAGCTTACGCTAACCCAAGGTCAAACCTATCAGAATTGAAATAAACTGAAATTATGACCTAACAGGTTCATTGCATTCTTGCACAGAAGTGGATATAGAAGTTGGGAAAGACTTAGCTCACAAAATATAACATGCTATTTAGAAATCACATGAAGGAAACGGCAGGAAGAAAGGTCATACACCTCCTGAGCAAATGTCACAGATTGCAGTCTCTGCTACTTAAAGGGAGGAAAAAAGAACATGGTCAACTCGTGCCTTTGCCTGTATATCAAGAGCTTATGCCACATCCAGGATCACGAATGCACAGAAAACCAAGCTTTTCTTGCCACACGTGCTTCAAATTCTCTGAGCTACCTTGGCACTGTACTGTTAAGTCACTGAGCAGCTATAAAATCATTAACTGACATCGGGGTACTTGAAAGGGCTCTCAAAAACGGAGGCCGTTTTCTTTTTTTCATACTCACTGTAGATTTAATAGGGACTTTTTGCTAAGTTCTGCCCAAAGCTATACTGATATTTCTTCTCTGGGATGCCAACGAAGCTGGAGTCCCTCCAACTCAGTGGTAGCGGATATTAGTGGTACCAGTATCTATAGGTTTCTAAGTACTTAATGATCTCTTCTTGGTTAATTTTAGGGCCATTACATCATCTTCAGCACCCTCTATATCACTTCTGCCTTTGATCCTAGACATTTCTCTACCTCCTTCCTCAGATTCTCAGTTTAGTGAGTAGTAGCTGGCAAGCCCCCCTCCCTCCCACTTCTTTCAGTGGGTGTCCTCTAGGAATTTACCCTCAATTGTTTTATTTCAACCTATTTATTGCTTTAAGGACATCCCCTTCATTCATACCAATTCAATCGTCACTTGTACACTTTGTCCTCCCATTCCTGAAGTATTTTTGCCCCCCAAGCCCACGCTGTCTCACCATCTTCCCAGGGAGCCCAGGTCGCACTTTAAATGCCACAAGCCCCAGACCAAGGCCACCATCTACCTTCCCAGCAGCTCCCTCCTGTGTGTTCCTGCTACAGCCCTTGCAGTGCCCCCAAAGAGAGACGGGATGTTGCCACCTTTGTGGAAACAAACAGTCTTTCTGCTTTGTTTCATGGGACTCTGCACCCATCTGCTGGAAGGGGGTGTTCAGGGGGCAACACGCCAGCCTGCTCTTACGCCCGGCACACGGGTTTCCCGTTTCTGAGGCGCGCGTGGCTGTGACACCGGCAACTCTGCTGGCCTCCCATGTGCTCTTCATTAGTGCCAGACCCCTCACTTCTCTAGCAACCTGCTCATTTACTGCATAGTGCTACAGGAAAGAACACAGCTTAAAAGCAAAAAAGCATGCACATGCTGCCTAATCAGGTAAACAGAGCACAAAGGAATCATGAGATACTGGGATCCTTAATAATTTAAGTTTTCATGTGGCACAAGGCCATCTCCACAGATCCCAGAAAAGTCAGAGCTTACAGCTCATTTCATTAAAAATAGCCAGTTACAAAACCCACAGTGCGCGCTCCTCGCTCACGCATACCCCCAGACCCCTGCGAGTCCATGCAGCTCCCCGAACTGTGTTTGCGGCAGCGCTCACGACTCTCGCTTCCCGGGCTGCGGTCGTGAGAGCGGCCTAAACACTGACTCACGATGTCCCCGCACACCAGGGCAGAGCCCCGCGCCGCTTGTGTGCGGACCCCTGCCACCTGCGCGTGGCAGCCAAGCCGGAGCTGGCAGCGGG